CCATGGAGGCCATCGCGTCGCCCGTGTTTTCTGCCGCGATCGACGTGGCGCGTCCGATCTTGGAGGTCGCGCGCCCGAGTCCCTTCGCTGCGGCCTTAACACCCTGCGCCGTCTTCTTCTCCGTCGCCTTGGCGCCCGCCTTAATGTCCAACGCGGTGCTCTTGGCATTCACTGCCAGACCCGATGCACCGCGTTTCAGACCGTTTGTCTTCAAGCCCCGCGGCACAAAGTGCCCAGATGAGAACGTGTCGGTGCTCATACTCGGCTTCTTCATGCTCGCAGATACGACACCCGCCGGCGGGGCGGCGTAGATCGCCACTGGCTTCTTCTCTGCCGGTTTTGCGGGCACCACCATCTGTGCAGGCATCGCAGGCACCGCCGGGATCGCCACCGGGGCCTGCGTGCTGCTTAGCTGTGCTGCCTGTACCTTCACCGCCTGCGGCTGCGCCACCAACTGCACATGCGGCTGTGCCACTGGGGCCTTTGCCAAAACCATCGCCGGCTGCTGCGCCGGAACCGCCACTTGCTGCACTACAGGTTGTATCACCGGTTGGATCACAACCTGCTCGCCAGCCGTCGGAATCTTAGCCATTTTGTTGTTCTTGTGGTGCTTGCCAAATGCCATGATTGTCGTAAAATGTGCGCGTTGGTACATGCATCTCGACGTGTACACATGCCGACAATATGAAATGTGCCGACCATAGGAAAGGTGCCGACAATAGCAATAATGCCGACAGTAACACTCTCACCGCGATCATGAGAGCATAACCTACATGCAACCTACATTCGGTAGCTTGCCGACCGTCCACAATATAGGGAGTCAGTTATGGTGTGGAAGTCGGGCTTCTTGACGTCTTGGAATTGTGAATGTGTGAGTGTGCGGTTATGTAAGTATATGGCTCTCAGGTTGCAGGTAATTGGTGCCAGTAATTGGCTGAATTTTGGGGTATGTAGTTGGGGCTATTTTGAGCCTGCATAAATGCATGCAAATTCCGGTAGGTTTTAAGTAAAGTGTTATACCTTGTTGTCTGTTGCAGCGTTGTTGGATTCGTTGTTAGGGGCCGACCGTAATGAGCTTCCGAGTGCTGCGGGTGTGAAGAGACGGAGTTTTGCAGACCCGGATGTGTGCAAGTACTACTTGGTTGATTTTTGCCCACATGATTTGTTCCCGAACACACGATCGCATCTGGGTCCATGTCCTAGAGTGCATGACGAGGCAATGAAGGAGGAATATAAACGGAGTGCAGATAAGGAAAGGTATGCAGTAGAGTTTGAAGAAGAGATGCTGGCATTCCTAAAGCAGCTAGTATCTTCGGCGGAACAGAAAATTCAAAAGGCCAACCGACGTATCGACGCTCCTCTTCCCGAGAATGCGCTGCTCAGTGACGAACAACAACAACTCATCAATGCCATGAACGATAAAATCACCAACTTGCTCAAGGACGCGGAAATTGCTGGCGAAAAAGGCGATGTGGAAGAAGTTGCTTCCATCACTCGTCAAGTACAAACGCTCAAAAGAGAAATTGAACGAGCCGGCTCTCTCGTCTACGGCAGCTACATGCAGAGGGAAAAGTCCCTCAGAGTCTGCTCTATATGCGGCGCCATGCAGTCCGTTGGAGATTCCATGAGCCGATTTGAAAGCCACGTCACCGGCAAACTCCATCTCGTAACCCGCCGTCCCACCACCCCCTCCACCTCACCACCCCCTCCACCTCCACCTCACCACCCCCTCGACCTCACCACCCCCTCCACCTCCTTCGGCTGGTTTATCTTTCTCGATGATTAGGGATACGAGAAAATTCGGAGTTGCATGGAGGACTTGCTCCGGCGGAAGGCGGAGCGGGAGGAGTCCCGACGATCACGGCGGACGAGCAGCAGCGACGTATCGCGACCGTCTCTCGACGAGAACCGGAGGCGGCGTTACGACGCGCCGCGGCCGGCATCGTACCGGGGGCCGTCGGAAACGCGAACGGTAAACGGGCCCTACGGTTACCGCGGTGGTGGTCGTAGTTCCACGGGGGGTGAATATAGTCGTAGTGAGTTTGGCCGAGATGGGCGGAACGAGCATGGCCGCTCGGATTACAGCCGGGGTGAGCGCACAAATGACTACGCCCGGGGCAGGTACTCTTACGGCGAAGGACGCAGCAACCAAGGGCGAGACGGCGAAGGGCGAGACGGCCCCGGACGGGAGGGCCCCGGACGGAGCGTAGAAGGATACAATCCTGGCTACAACTCGGGCGGTGGCTACAACTCAGCTGGTGGGTACAACTCAGCTGGTGGGTACAACTCCGGCGGAGGGTACAACTCGGGCGGTGGGTACAGCCACGGCCGATATAGAGGGAACGATTCGAGGACAGAACACTCAGACTCGTACGCGCAGCGCACACGACATCGGCCGCCTGCTGCGCCGTCGGCGGTCGAGGAAGGGGAGGCGGAGGAGGGCGAATATTAACCGCGATGCTGAGGTGTTTGGGGCAGGCTGGGTCTGGTGGGTTTTGGGATTATGTAAATGCTAAAGAGGACTAGAGGAAATGGAGGAGTGAAGTTCTTCAATGGGGTTCGCCATCAGCGCTGGTTCCGCGGCTGGTTAATCACGCCTTGCGCGCTGCTGGCCCCGCGCTACTTGATTGCGCCCTCGTCGCGGGGTCTTTCCGTCTCCTTGGATGCGGCGATCGCTTGCTCGCTGCTATTCATGCTCTTGACCGCCTTCGTCGACCCTGGCACTGTCCCCAAGGGCTGCTACTGGTTCGATCTCATACCACGGGTCTGCAAATACCGCGGGGACAAGGCCTACTGCCGTCTTTCGTACCCCAGCAGCAGCTCTGTCCAAGAACTGCGCCAAAAATGGGCCGCGCACACGCGTGTGCAGCCGACGGAAGTCGCAAAATCCACGGCCTCTTCCCCGGTTGAGAACTTTACTGCCCTGCAATCAAGCACTTTGTCCCCAGCAAGTCCCACTGCTGCAAGCATTAATTTAGGCGACGATGGGTTAGAGAAAGATCCCCATTGGATTGTCTTTGAGAGATCAGAATTAGAACGCTATACCGCGCGGCGAGACCAACGAGACATGATTGAAATAGCGGGCGACATATGTGGCCAGCAAGTGACCTTCAAGTGGTGCTGTGTCTGCGACCAACTACGTCACCCACGGACCAGACATTGCGCAACCTGCGATTCGTGTGTCGATCGATTCGACCATCACTGCATCTGGATTTCGAGCTGCGTTGGCCTTCGCAACTACCGGTACTTCTTTGGGTTTCTGATCTCGGCCTTAGTGCTCACCAGCACCTGCATTGTGGAGTCCTCAATTAGCCTGTACACAGTTCTGTTGAGAAACGACAAATGGGCGTTAGAAAGCTTTTCCAAGTAAGTATTCACTCTGCAGACCATCGCAGCATCTTATAGTGCTTGCCTCCTCCTACTGGGAATCATATTCTGGTGTGCGCTGGTCCAACTAAGCCTGTTCCACAGCTTACTCATTGCACACGAGAAAACAACGACAGAAGAAGTAAGACCCTCACCGGAACCGGGAGTACGTGCACTTGCATCTGTGCATAGTTGGCATTTGCACACATGGTTGGCGTTTGCAGATGCGTGAAATGTATCCACTACGCAGTCCCTTTAGTCAAGGTAAGGTTTGTCTGCTCACGGGCTTACAGCTGGGCCTAGGCACCGGGGGGCGGGGTATTGGCATGGTTATGCGGCAAGGATTTGAAGATAGTGAGGAAGAAGGGCGATGAAGTATGGTGCGTGTGTGGCAAGGTGTGCGTGCGTTGCACCCTATTTTGTGAATCAGGATGAAGCTGTCAACCATCGTTCTCGGTCTTTCGGCTTTGGCTTCTGCTCAGGAATCCGCCGGTCCTATCCGCGACCTCGGCAAGAAGAGGCGTGGATTCGCAAACTACGGGGTTGCCCAGAAGGCGCCTATTGTGCAAATGCCTACTAAGAAGGGACACATGGTTCCCCAGCAGGTGATCGATATCCCGACCATCAAGGGCCACACCCACGTGGTCCAGCCGAGCAAGAAGGCAGCTCCCGCCCCCATCCAGGTCGTGGCTGCGCCGAGCAAGGCTACCTACGTGCCTCCCGTGAGACAGGTGCACGTCGCTCACTCGAAGAAGGCCGCGACCCCCGTGGTCCACTCCAAGCAGGCAGCGGTCCCCGTGGTCCACTCCAAGCAGGCCGCGGTCCCCGTGGTCCACCAGAAGGGCAAAGGCGGCCTCCGTCACCTCGGCCGCAAGCGTGGCGGCTGGGGCTGGGGCAGAAGAGGTGGCAAGAAGGGTGGCTACGCTGCCCCCATGAAGGCCCAGCCTATTGTGTCCAAGAAGGCTCAGCAGCCCGTCTACGTCGTGCAGCAACAGGTCTCCAAGCAGATCCCTGTTATTCCTCAAATCGCCACCCACGGCAAGAAGGGCGCCGCGGGTGTCCACCATGGCTACTACTAAGCCATTTGTCAGCCCATTTTTCAAGAACTTTGTCTAATTATCGCTTATCCTACTTTCTACCGTAAACCTTCTGGCTATACCTGAGTCGTGCCGGAGAGGACTGTGTGTGTGTGCTATCTAGTCGCAGCAGCTTACCCGGGATGGTCAGTGATATAAGCAAACGTCTGTTTGGCCACAGTCACTTTTGTAGGTTGTTGGAGGAATATATATGAACTACTCATTCGCAGGCCGCCCCCGCGGGTTTCAGTGTTGCCGGACGACCACCTCGCCTCGTTGAAGGCGCCCCTGTTACACGTAGTACTTGACCAAGGTTGACTGAACCTTCGCTTCCCTGCCAACGCAGACGTGAGTAACGGAATAACGGATACCGCTTTGAGTGGTCATACCGCTTTGGGTGGTCATACCCGGTTGACTGGTCATACCCGGTTGAGTGGTCATACCGCTTTGGGTGATAGGGGTAGTGTTGTTGTGGTGTCCGTACCATATGCATATGAGCAGTGAGTCAATGAACTCCTGTGGCACCAATTTGAGGTATGCATGGGCAAGCAACTGGCCCCGACTGTCCCGGTCATGATGGCTGTCCGGTTTGCGGGCTTTGTGGCCGTTCATGACTAGTGAGGTGAGTTTGAGGGTGGCGGTGGTGGAGAGGAACTTGACGATGCCTGTGGGTATTTCGATGCGTAGGTTCCATATCTCACCGAGGGTCATGGTGAGTACTATGGGTGCTGTGCGGATGGCAGGAGAATGAAACCTTATGAAGGTCTCCACATCTGTTCCGTCCAGCGAGACGAAGCCCAAGATCTCCTTACCCGGAGCCGCCAAGATACACTTGGTGCCCTTCATCCCTACCATCCAGGCCTGTCTGTAATCCACACGCTCTTCCAGTTCGTCCAAATTCAGGTCGTAACCACCAGGTTTCCACACACTCGCACGTAACGCCCGTACTACCTCATCCGGCCAAGGCTCTTCATAGTTCGCCCAGTGGTTCTCTTCCCGAGTAGGCTTCAACGAAACCTCCGTTTTCTTCTTCTTTTTCTTCCCTGCCGCCGTCGCCGTCGCAAGAACCGTCGGAGACAACCGATTGCTAGCAGACGGCGGGGACCACTCACGAACATTCTGTCGCGGCCGACCCTCCTCTGACCGACCCTCCTCTGGCGGACCCTCCTCTGGCGGACCCTCCTCTGGCGGACCCTGCTCCTCCTCCCCAGGTGGCCGACTCTCCTCTCCCCGCGCCTGATCCAGATACCGCTGGTCGTTTTGCTCTCCTTGATCTGCAGGCTCTCCTTGATTTGCAGGCTCTCCACTACCTGCAGGCTCTCCACTACCTGTATGCTCTCCACTACCTGTATGCTCTCCACTACCTGTAGGCTCTCCACTACCTGTAGGCACTCTCCCGATCAGCATCTTGTAGTACTCCTGGGCGTTGGTCTTGTCCGCCGTGGTAAAGGTCTGGAGTTGGGCGATTTCCTCATCGCTGCTGGCTTCTTCAGCGCTCTCATCGCTCGCATTTCGTTCGCGTCGTTGTGCGGCCTCAATTGCGACTTTCCGCAACATCGCGTTGGCAATTCGGCTGTCGTACGTGCCCGAGACAGTACCCTTTGGCGCGGGCACCTTTGGAGCCCTCGACTCCGGCGCACGGTACCTGCTTGGGATGGTAACGAGGTTTGCTAAGTCATGAGGCTGTTTCCGGATTTGGGACGCGGCCTTTGGTATCTGTTTACGAGCCGTCCTTTCCCCGAAACTCAACTGCCGAAGGGGCCCGACTGCCGAGTCTCTGGTCTCCCCGGTCTGGGGACCTCCGGGTTTGGAGGCATCCCAGTCGGACAGCTTGCTTTTAACGTACATTCTCACATATGTTAGTGACCCGACAGGGGATCTGATTTGAAAAATAAGACAAACATTCACACAACTGAACTCTCACAACTGATTGAAGCCAACCGATTGAAACCCAGACTCGGACGGTTGATAACGAAGTAGAAGTGTGTGCAAAAAAAGCTCGTCTAGATTATGAGTGATTTCTTGTTCTTCTTCGTAACTTTGGGGGATACGACAACATTGCAATGCTTGGATAGATTCTTGATGAGACGTTGCGCATTCTCTTCATTCTCTATGGTATATATGTACAATTGTTTAGGCGTCTTTACTTTGAATCGATAGACGGGAGTTTCCGATAATGGTGTCTTCTCTCCTCGACTGGTGCTCTCCATATATTGTAATCGAACCACATTCACTGTGCGCTTCTTTCCATCTGCAGGCGGTAAGCACTTCTGGATAAACAACTTGAGCTTGTCCACCTCCAACGCCATGCTCCTTTTTTATTCCCCCGACTGAAGAAGCTCCGGGTAAAGAAGCTCCGGGTGAAGAAGCTCCGGGTGAAGAAGCCCTGGAAAAGCTTTGCAACTAGCCAGCCCACTGGGTGTTCACCAGGATTTGTCTGGATCTTTAGTCCAACGCACCGTCTAATGTGCTCACCAGGATTTGTCCGCAGCGTTTTCTTTGAACCCTTGTGCACGCACAAAACTCCCCTCTCTCTCGAACTCTCTCATGCACGCAGGCACGCGCGCAGGCAGAAAAGCTGCGGTCAGGCGCAAAAGCTCGCCCGTCGTGTTCTGTCGCGGTCGGCTTCGATTTTTTCAAATCGTCGAAGTGAGGTGACGTAAACGCACGGATGACAATCCCGTGTGCTACAGAGGAGACGCCCCTCTACGGAGATTCCAATGAAACTCTTACGTCCTTCAGTGAAGCGGGGTCAAAGGCCCGTCTAGCTCAAGCCGAACATCCTGAAGAAGATGGGCGTCTTTTGGTTGAGCAATTTGACACTGCGGTTTCGAAGACGGGTGGTGCAGACGTGGCGGGTGGTACAGACGTGGCGGGTGGTACAGACGTGGCGGGCGAGTTGAAGTACATTGGGTGGCATCGGAGCACGTTTACGGGAGCGTTATTGTTTAACTTGGGTGCGTTTCTGTTGCCTGCTTTGTACTCGACGTTGTCAAAGCTCTGGGTAGCGGACATTGACTCATCGATGGTGGTGACAACGGATGTATACACGTATATCAACACGGTCGCGGAGGTAATAAACGAGGGCCTGCCCCGTGCGTCGTGGATGATCATTGGCGACCAGGTTTCGCGGAGTGTGCGCGAACGGCTCGGACTGACCTACACGCTTATCTGGTTTCAGGCGGTCTTGGGATTGATTATGAGCGTTTGCTTCCTGTGTGGTGCCAGCAATTTTGCAAACGGGTTTGTGCCGCCAAACGTCCGGGCCGCCAGTCTGACCTACGTCCGCATCAGTGCCCTCTCTGGTCTCAGTGGTGCGATCGAGACCGCCGTCGGCTCCGCTACCCGCGCACTCGACAAACCAGATGTGCCGCTACTCATCAGCACCGTCAAGTTCGCAGTCAACATCCTCCTCGACCTCCTCATCATATCCAAGTTCCATGTGGGAACACACACACCGACCGTGAACACACAGGCATCCATTCAACTGTGCTGCAACATGACCAGCGCCTTTACCGGCTTGTTCTACTTCATGTGGGCCAACAAGGGCTGGGCTAACAAGGATTGGGCTAACAAGGACTGGGCCAACCAGGGCAGCAGCCGGTCTGTCGAGAAAGAGCATCACCACAGGGTTTCCGTTGACGAGGACATGACATCGCACTTGAAGACGGCATCCTCAATTTTCTGGCCGCAGTGGTCGCGACTTAGAGTTTTGTTGAAGCCGGGAGCTTTAACTTTCACCGAGTCTGCTGTCCGAAATGCGCTGTATCTTTGGCAGGTGCACAAGATGGTAGCACTGGGACCTACGTACGCCACGGCCTGGGGTGTCTTCATGACTATCCGATGGGGACTCGTGATGGTTCCCGTACAGGCGCTGGAAGCGACTTCACTGACCTTTATTGGGCACAACTGGGCGGTCTGGAAACGCTATAAGACATCAGCTACGGATGAGGTGTCAGCTAAGGATGAGACATCAGCTACGGATGAGGTGCCAGCTAAGGATGAGACGGCGGCTGTTATTCGGGTGCCTTACCGGGAGTTGCTCGAGTTCATCCGTCCGGCATTGTGGTCCGTAGCTATCGCGCTAGTTGTGGAAATACCCATGGCTATTGTTCTTGGGCGTTGTGGAACAAAGCAGTTCGCCAAGTACTTGAGTGGCTCGGACGAAGTCGCCTACGTCACCGCTTACATGTGGTCCGATATTGATTGGTGCTACGTGTTCTACGCTGTGTCCACGCCCCTTGCCACCATACTGCTCGCTGCCAGTCCCACGTGGTATCTTGTGCAGTCCCTTATCAGCAACTTGCTCTACGTGCTGCCCTGGACCATAGTATGTGCGGCTAAACATCTCGGCACCGACAATGCCTGGACTTATTACAAGTTCATCTTCGGCGGGAGTCTAGTCTTCAGCTTCGGCGATATCCTAGTAGTCGATCTTATTTGGCTTTATAGGTTACGACGAAAAGGAAGACAAATTATTTGGTAAGGACGCCTGACCGCATTGAATTCGGACATGTTCAAGACCCGCCAGGTTCAAGATCTTGCTGGTTGTTTTTTTACCAATGAGTGAGTGGTAATACCTTCTACCTGGAACGTTTACTAGTTGAGATCCCACTGTCAAGTGTTCCAGGAAGTTGTGCCTGCAACCCACTCGGGGCATGTGCCTGCAACCCACTCGGGGCGTGTGCCTGCAACCCACTCGGGGCGTGTGCCTGTATGTCGACGCTCAGTTGTGATGGGTGAGTTGTGATGGATGGGTTGCATCCATTTTTTGCACATTCTAACAATTCTACACACAGTTCTACAGAATGTTATGCCGCTTTCCTTGCTTGCCAGCAGCACGTCCTGCCTGATCGACTCCCCTCCTCACCTTTCCATTAAGCCAACTTCCCTCACCTAAGCATCTTCTGCTTACAAAAAGATGGCAGTGTCTTTGAGCCGGTTGACCTCCGCTGTCCGTGGGTGACCATAAACGAGTTTTCAAATCCTCTTTAACCAAGTCGTCAATGTTCCGATAAA